GAAACGTCTTCTTTACTCATGATAAAAAGATTTTGAAAAAAAAAACAATTCAAAGTTAACTTTTCGAGTGAAAGTTGAATGTCGAATGCTACTCCCAACGACTGACTCTTATAACCATTAGTATTTTCTAATTGTTAGCCTGGAAGTTTTGTTAACGTTCATAAATGTTTGCTTTTAAGAACTAACCCAGTCTCCAATGAAAATCTTGAATTTAAATTCTCGTTACAAGATAGCAGTGAGAGCACTTCAGTTCCAGCGATGCTTTATTTGAGTTGGATGGAAACCTCCTTATGAAACTTTCTGTGAGGGATCTAAGTTTCTTGTTTTTATGAAGCTCCAACTTCCCGTACTTGTCATATTTTGATTACGGTGACCAAGTGAAATCTTTCAGACCGATAACGCAATGAGAGTTTGGATCGCGTCGTTATTCTTTTATATATTTGTGTTTTTGATTTGTGAACTCTTACGATATATTATTGTTGTGTTGTTAGCGAAACGACTCTCTGCGACAATTAGAAGTCTGCTTCTCGAGGTTATCAATCACTTTATGCTTCGATTCGATTCAGATGCAGTGCGCTTCCCCGAACTTATGATACAAACCAATTCCCATAGCCATTACAGTTGTCGATACTTTCAACAGAACATCCCATTAGAATGGAATTCCAAATTTTTCGAAGTGGCGAATTGAAGAGATGACCTAATGGATAATAGTCGATATTGATAGATCTTCACGAGTTCCAGTCGTCCGAGTCGGCTGAAAAGTGTCGACCCGTCGACGGAACAGTTTGGAATATTTTTGATTGGATATTTCTTTGAAGCTTTAGCTAAGTGAGGCTAAGGACAAGCGTAAGGCTCATTGTTGGACTGGTGGTTAAGTCAAATCGAAAACTTTTTCGCTGCTGTCCACATTTCTCCACTCCTCCAGCCACACAATGAATTGCGTTAAAAAATGTTTGCGTACTTATTTCAATTATTACTGCAGTTCGTCGGAACGTTACAAGTATGCACACCGATGTTTGATGTGAACTTGATATTGAGTACATATGGTCTCTTCGGTGTTTTCATTGAAATTACCGTCATCGAATTAGCGAATTGTTACTTTCTTCGTGATGCTATAGCGCATCCGTGTCCTCTGGTAAGTCATGCTACAATGTCGTTTATTTTTGAGGTAATGATTATTCTTCAGGTCCATATATTTAGGTGAATGCATATATCAGTGTTTAATTAATGGGAAAGATAATAAGACCCGGTTGCAAACTTATTTGAATTCCTTTTGGAGAATCGAGCGATGCTACCGAAAATTATTCATTTCCGTTGACCATCTCTTCAAAAAAATGATCAGTTATGAGAAACTCGTTTAGGAACCCCAGCAGCTTCAAGCTGATTCACTGCGATGATGTCGTTCTAAATGTATATTATACTCCTCTATCATTACAATCCTACTGAAAGTCTGATAATGACTGTTCAGATAACGACTGCAACCCGAAAACGTTCAATCGTAAGACGTGCACTGGTTGTGTTCCTGGTGCAGTTATTAGCTGCGTATTTATCGTACTTCTTGGCTAGACTCTTTTGGAGGTTAAAACTCAATCGTCATCATGCGGAACTTCTCTTCAGTGATCATTGCGAAGCTGATCTCACGGTGAGTTCACTCGAAATAAATTGTTACATCTCGTTGTTTTATCTCCAATGAAACTGATGATATTATGAGACTGATTCGTTGAACTCAAAGATGCACTTCGTGGAAATTTTCCGGTCCCTAAATCACATTAGTGGAAACCTTATCTGGGATCACTACGTCTGATAATTCATCTTTTTTGGTATAAAACGCTCACTTAATACATCTTCTGCAACGCAAAACTTCAGTCGCTTC